ATATTTTGGAAACTAGTCCTTTACCAGATATGTCTTTTGTGTATATAAATATTTTCTCCCAGTCTGTAGCTTATCTTCTCATTCTGTTGATAGTGTCTTCTGCAGAGCGGAGGTCTTTAATTTTTAGTAAAGTCTTGCTTCTCAGTTCTTTCATGGTTCATGCCTTGGTATTGTATCTAAAAACTCATTACCATATTCATGGGTCACCTAGATTTTGTGCTGTTATCTTCTAGAGCTCTTACAGTTTCGTGTTTTACATTTAGGTCTGTGATTCACTTTGAGGTAGTTTTTGCGAAGGGTGTAACGTGTGTTGATTAATTTTTTTGCATGTGAATGTCAGTTCTTGTAGAATTTGTTGAGAAGACTATCTTTTCTCCTTTATTGCCTTTGTGCCTTCATCAGAAATCAGTTACCTGTATTTATATGGGTCTTTTCTGGGCTCTCTCTTCTGTACCTTTGATCTGTATATGTATTCTTTTTGCCTGTACCATGCTACCTTGATAACTGTAGCTTTATGGTAAGTTGAATATTGTCATTCTTCTGATTTTATTCTTCTTCAGTATTATGTTGGCTATTCGGAATCTTTTGCTGACCCAAAGAAACTTTAAGGATTGCTTTGTTGATATCCACAAGATGATTTTGCTAGGAATTTGATTAGGATTGCATTGATAACTATATTGATACATGTTGGGAAGAAATGACTTCCTGGCAGAATTGAGGCTTCCTTTCCATGAACACGGACTATCTCTCCATTTATTTAGTTCCTCTTGAATGTCTCTCTTTAGGGCTGTATATCTTTGTATAGACCTTATACCTATTTTGTTTGATTTTTACCTAAGTATTTCTTCTTCAGAATGCTAATATAAGTGGCTAATACAATATAAAATTTTTAATTTTAAATTCCACGTGTTCATTGCTGGTGTATAGCAAAGTGATTGATTTTTGCATGGTAACCTTGCATCTTTCAACTTTACTGTAACAGCTTAATTAGTTCCAGGATTTTCTTTAATAAATTTTTTCAGGCTTTCTGTATAGACAGTCATGTCATTTGTGAACAAAGATGGGTTAATTTCTTCCTTTCCAACATGCGTACCTTTTACTTCCCTTTCTGTTACTGCATTAGCTAGGACTTCCAGTACAATGTTAAAAAAGAGTGGTGAGAACATCCTTACCTAATTACTGGCCTTGGCAGAAAATCTTCTAGTTCCTCACCATTAAGTATGAAGTTAGGTATTAGTTCCCTGTAAATGTTCTTTATCAAATTCTAGAATTATCCTCTATTCCTAGCTTGCTGAGAGTCTCACTTGCCTTTTTATTTTTTATTTTTTTTTTTTAATTTTTTTTAATTTATTTATTTATGATAGTCACAGAGAGAGAGAGACAGAGGCAGAGACACAGGCAGAGGGATAAGCAGGCTCCATGCACCGGGAGCCCGATATGGGATTCGATCCCGGGTTTCCAGGATCGCGCCCTGAGCCAAAGGCAGGCGCCAAACCGCTGCGCCACCCAGGGATCCCCTCTCACTTGCCTTTTTAGTTCATATTTTTGTTTAGAATAATTTTACAAATACTGGTATAGTTAAGTCTTTCAGGTTGCTTATACAGAGGTTTGTCATACACATTTAAACCTTGAATAGATTGTGCTAGGAAAACAACTTAAAATGTAAAACACACCCTTTGAAGATCTTTGGGACATAGCCAAAGCAGTTCTTTCTTTCTTTTTTTTTTTTTAAGATTTTATTATTTATTTATTTATTCATGAGAGACACAGAGAGAGCGAGAGAGAGGCAGAGACACAGGCAAAGGGAGAAGCAGGCTCCATGCAGGAAGCCCGATGTGGGACTCTATCCCGGGACTCCAGGATCAGGCCCTGGGCTGAAGGCCGTGCTAAATGCTAGAGCCACCCGGGCTGCCCAACCAAAGCAGTTCTAAGAGGGAAGTTTATAGTGGTATCGGCCTACCTCAAGAAACAAGAAAAATCTGAAGTTAACAATCTAATCTTACACCTAAAGGTTCTAGTAAAAGAACAAACAAAGCTCAAAGCTAGTAGGAAGAAGGAAATAATAAAGATCAGAGTGAAAATAAATGAAATAGAGACTTAAAAAACAATAGAAAAGATCAATGGAACCAAGAGTTGTTTCTTTGAAAAGATAAGCAAAATTGTCAAACCCTTAGACTCCTCAAGAAAAAAAGAGAAAAGGTCCAAATAAAATCAGAAATGAGAGAGGTAACAGCTGAAACCACAGAAATACAAAGGAATATAAGAGACTACTATGAAAAATACTGTCAAACAAATTGGACAACTTAGAAGAAATGGATAAATTCCTAGAAACTTACCATTTTCCAAAACGGAATCAGGAGGAATTAGAAAATCTGAATAAATTGATTACTAGTAATAAAATTTTTATTTAAAAACTCCCAACAAACAAAAGCTCAGATGGGCTTCAGAGGTAAATTCTATCAAACATTTAAAGGAAAGGTAATACCTATGTTTTCTCTAACTATTACAAAAATAGAAGAGGAAAGAGAGTTTCTAGATTAATTCTACAAGGCCAGCCTTTCCCTTATACCAAAACCAGATAAAGACATTACCAAAAAAAAAAAAAAAAAAACTATGGGCCAGTATTGCTGATGAACTTATAGATGCACAAATCCTCAACAAAATGTCAACAAACCAAATTCAACAGTACATTAAAAGGATCATTTACCTCAATCAAGTGGAATTTATTCCCCGAGTGCAATGGTGGTTCAGGATCTGTAAATCAACCATTGCGACATATTACATTACTAACACGAAGGATAAAAACCATATAATCATCTCAATAGATACAGAAAAGCATTTGACAAAAATCATTATCTGTTTATATAAAAACGCTCAACAAAGTGGATTTAAAGGAAACAATATAGGAGATACCACATAGGACAAACCCACAACTAACATCATACTCAATGGTGAAAAGCTGAAACTATTCCTTTAAGATCAGGAACAAGATAAAGATGTCCACTCTTGCCACTTGTATTCAACATAGTACTGGAGGTCCTAGCTGCAGCAATCAGACAAGAAACAGAAAGAAAAGGCACACAAATTGGAAAGGAAGAAGTAAAACTATCATTATTTGCAGATTACATGGTATATATATATATATATATATATATATATATATATATATATATATATATAATATAGAAAATCCTGAAGACTCAACAACAACAAAAAACTGTTAGAACTAAGAAATGAAATCAGTAAAATTGCAGGATCAACTTTAGAGTAATTGAACAAGAAAGAGAGCCCAGAAATAAGCTCACACTTACATGATCAGTTAAGCTGTGACAAAAGAGGAAAGAATATACAATGGGGAAAAGACTGTCTCTTCAGTAAATGGTGTTGGGAAAACTGGGCAGCTGCATGTGACAAAATGAAACTGGACCATTTTCTTACACCATATACCAAAGTAAACTCAAAATAGATGACCTAAACATGAGGCTTGAAACCATAAAACTTCTCAAAAAACATAGGGCACTGATCACTTGGATATTGGCCTTAGCAACATATTTATGGGATATGTCTCCTCAGGAAAAGGAAACAAAGGCAAATAACTGTTAGGACCACACCAAAATAAAAAGCTGTGTACAGTTAAGGAAACCATCAACAAAAGAAAAGGTGTAGTCTGCTGGATGTGAGAAGATATTTGTAAATGTTATATCTGATAAAGGATATTATCCAAAATAAAAAAGAACTCACATAACTCAACACCAAAAAAAAAACAAAAAAAAAAAAAAAAAAAAACAACCTAAACCAAACAGTTAAATTAGAAGAATGAGCAGAGAACCTGAATAGACATATTTCCAAAGAAGACATACAGATAGTAAACAGACACATGAAAACATACTCAACATTACTAATCATCAGGAAAATGCAAATCAAATCACAGTGAGATACCACCTCACATCAGTCTGAATGGCTAGTATTGAAAAGACAAATAAGAAGTGTTGACAAGGATATGGAGAAAAGAGAATCCTTGTGTACTGGTTGTGGGAGTGTATATTGGTGCAGCCACTGTAGAAAACAGTGTGCAGATTCCTCAGAAAATTAAAAATAGAAATACCATATTATCCAGTAATTCCATTACTGTGTATTTACCTAAAGAAAGTGAAAACAGTATTTTTTTTAAACACTAATTTGAAAAGATACATGTGTGTTTATTGTAGCATTATTTACAGTAGTCGAGATATGGGAGCAATGTCAGTGTCCATCAATAGATAAATGGATAAAGGAGATATATATGCAATATTCCTCAACCATAAAGATGAGATCTTTCCATTTTGCAACAAGATGAATGGACCAAGAAGATGTTATGCTAAGTGAAATAAATCAGAGAAATACAAATACCATATGATTTCATACCTATGTGGAATCTAAAAAACACAGCAAATAAACAAATAAAAAAACTGTAAACAGACTCATAAATACAGACAACAAACTGGTGGTTTCCAGAGGAGGGTGGTGTATAAAACAGGAAAAGAGGATTAAAGGGTACAGAAATCCAATTATAAAATAAGTTACGGAGATGAGAAGTATAGTATAGGGAAAAAAAGTATAGTATACGGAATAATAATATTGTTACAGTGTTATATGGTGGCAAATGGTTACTAGACTTACCATTGTGAGCAGTGCATAATGTATAGGAGTATCTGGTCACTACGTTGTATACCTGAAACTATTATGGTATTATATGTCAACTAAAATGATAAAAATTTAAAAGTAAAATAAATGTAATATTGCCTGTCTTTATATTTGCATTTAGAAAAGTTTTAAAATCATTTTCATGGCCATTTCTTTTTTTAAGTACAGACTCCAAGCCAGGGAGGACAGTGAGACTTAAGTGAAATATCTGAAACTATTTTTCATTGAGTGCTTGGATTGGCTTAAAGGGAAACACATAAAGAATCAGGGGTTTCTAATTTACTCATTAATCGCTTTTTAATCTGGTTTGTTTACAGACGTTCAGCCTGTTGCCTATGAAGAGCCCAAACATTGGTGTTCAATTGTCTACTATGAATTAAACAATCGTGTTGGGGAGGCTTTTCATGCATCTTCTACTAGTGTGTTAGTAGATGGATTCACAGACCCTTCAAATAATAAAAGTAGATTCTGCTTGGGGTTGTTGTCAAATGTTAATCGTAATTCAACAATTGAGAACACTAGACGACATATTGGAAAAGGTAATTTTGTCATTGCCCTGCGTTCAGTTGAAATCAGTCATTTGCTGTGCTTGCTCTGTACCGTGTGCTGTATAAGGCATAGAGTGTACTGTGAGCCTGAAGCATGAGCTCTGCTCTCAAGGTGCAGATACCACAGAATGTATTAGGTCAAGACCTCATCAGTTCTCTTTTCCTTATCCTGCTTTGTTTTTCTTTCTTTGGGATCTGAAATCATACTATATCTGTATTTATTTTTTGAGTGCCTTCTTGACTGGAATACAAGCTTTACAGAAATTTGCCTTGTTCATAGCATTATTTTCAGCAGCTAGAATAGTTCCTGGCTCACAGTAAGTACACAACAGATATTTGTGGAATATATGATTGCTGGCGTAGGATTAGAATTTTTTAATTACGGTTTTTTGAGAAGAGGTGCCTTGTAAGAACTTCTATTATGTGGGGAGGAGCTGGGTTATAGGTGAGAAATCCAGTTTGAATGACAAGTCTCTCCACCACTCCTCCTGCCTTTTAAATTCAGGTAACCAGGTTTTATTTATGTTTCATCCAGCAAGACAGTTGCCACAATACACAAGTAACTTTTCCCACCTCAGTGAAATATCAGAGTCTCATGCAAGTGGTCAGAAAGGAAACCTTTCCCAGGTAGAGTGTATTGCCTGTCTTGTAAGTTTAGTTTTTGCCACTCACTCTGTTCTACTTCTTTCACTTGAGAAAGTCTTAGTCCAAGTTAGAACAAAAGGTCCATAATTATAATTGTCATGTGATTTCTTATAGAAGAGATTCAGCAAAATACTATGGCCAAAAATAAGTTGAAAGGAAGTTTCCATTCTTTTTTTGACTCTGTTGCCAACTTGGCATTGATTTTTTTTTTCTTTTTTTTTTTTTTTTGGTGTAATGCCTCACTTCTATGTATTGATTTTCCCACTACATTAGAATGATTTAAGAGAAATCTACCAGGTGAATTCTTAAATTCTAGAATTTGTTTTCCCATTTTTCCCGGTATCTAATTCTAGGATCCCTTCCTCCATGAGTCATTTTATTTGCTTAGAAACAACAACATACAGTTGTTGGGTTTTTTAAAGATCTTATTTATTTACGAGAGACACAGAGTCAGAGACCTAGACAGGGAGAAGCAGGCTCCGTGCTGGGAGCCCAATAATAGGACTCAATACCGGAACCCCAGGATCATGCCTTGAATCAAAGGCAGAAACTCAACTGCTGAGCCACCCAGGTGTCCCAGAACAGTTTTTTGTATCATAGCCTAATACAAATCTGTGATTCACATGTGTATGAGGTATGTGTATACAAGGATGGCCTTTTTAACACTCTTTGTGGAAGTAAAAAGTTGGAAATAACTTTAGCTATAGATGTTGAAGTTTTAATATTGAAACTTCACATATTATTTACATATATTTTTTTTAAATACCAAAACCATTCTTTTCAAGGGAAGTAAAATAAATCTGCCGTTTAAAGTCTCTTCTTAAAAAAAATTAAAGTCTCTTCCTGTGACCTGCAATTACATATGTGACTTAGGGCCAAATTTTTAATGCTGCTGTACTCTCCATTAGTTAAAAGAGTGCAGAACACTTTGCCAATTGACTCTGTGATAAATTAACTTAGCACCAAGCGTTCCTTTGAAAGGACTCCTCATTTGCGCTTTCTTTGTCTTTTTGCCTTTGCTTTTTGCTCCTAGAGATAATAAATGATTGTTGGCAAAGAGAAAAGAACCAAAAGAAAAGAAAAGAAGAGAACCTAAGAACTGCTAAACCTAATAAGCTGCCAACCTTAAGCTTAATTTAAGTCTCAGTTATTTAAGGACCACTGTAGATGGAGGCCATTAACCTCTTGATTATCTTCGGCAGTCTAAGGCCCTCTAGTGGTAGCTTCATATCTACAGACTGTTGGGCCTTTGCTATAGGTTAGTGGGTATTCTTGGTTGCACCTTCTACAACCTCTTTGGTTTCATTGCATAATGAAACTTATTTTTTTTTATTAAAAAATTTATTATTTTTATTATTTCACCTTTATTAAGGTGAGTCTTGTAATGCTTGTTTTTTTAAGGTGTTCATCTGTACTATGTTGGTGGAGAGGTGTATGCAGAGTGCCTCAGTGACAGCAGCATATTTGTTCAGAGTAGGAACTGCAACTTTCATCATGGCTTTCATCCTACCACGGTCTGTAAGATTCCCAGCAGTTGCAGCCTCAAAATTTTTAACAACCAAGAGTTTGCTCAGCTTCTGGCTCAGTCTGTCAACCATGGCTTTGAGGCAGTGTATGAGCTCACCAAAATGTGTACCATCCGAATGAGTTTTGTCAAGGTGAGTGGGTTATAACCTGTAGCTTAATTTGAGTCACTGTAAATTTGTATATTTCTGTAGGTTATGATTTTAAAATGTCTTCCTGAAATGAAAATCGGTATTTACTTTTGACCTGATTTAATAGGTTTTTAAATGACATTCTTGAATTTATAGCTTCAAAGCCACACAATAGGTCAAAGTTTTAATTTTATAATCCAGGTGTTATAAAACACACGATACTGATTTTGATATTGAATAGGGGCTGAGTTTATAAAGAGTTTCAGTTAAAGACTGAATTGCTAGAAAGCATTTAATACTAAAATTGCTTTTGAAGTTCCTTAGCCTCAGCAGTTTCAATTATTATTAGATCCCACTGGAGTGACTTAAAAAATTCTTTAGAAGACTAAAATTATCTTACTTGCACTTAACCTCTGTTATTAAGGATTTGCCAAGTTGAAAGAACTTTTCAAATTTATCATTTGCTCTTGGGCTTATTTTACTGGCCTTCCAAGGGTGATGGCTTATGAGTAAAATTAGGAAAGAATTTTAGTGATGCATAAAAGCATCCTGTACTCTATCCAATTGGTCCTTAAGGATTTAGCCAAACAAGACCAACTGTGAAATGCGCCAAGCGGGATTTTTCTTTTTGGTATTCACACCCACAGTTCAGTGTTGCCTTGCTGCTTTGCTGTAAGTCTGTTCTGTGCATCAGTTTATTAGCCCCAAAGGCATTCCTCCTCCATAGAAACATAACTTTTTTTTTTAGAGAGATTTTATTTATTTATTTGATAGAGTGCATGCATGCATGGGTGTGGGAGGGGAGGAGCAGAGGGAGAGGGAGAAGCAGACTCCCTGCTGAGCAGGGAGCCTGACTATGCCGGGATGCAAGGCAGGGACTCAGGGCTCACTCCCAGGACTCTTAACCAACAGTGCCACCCAAGTGCCCCCGAAACAAAACTGTGATGTATTTAATTTCTACTTCCCCATCTCCCTCCCAAGCCTAATTTTCCTATACCAGCAGTATTCTAAGCTGTAAAGCAGAGACCTTGGTGAATCTAGGAAAATAAAAGTGAAAAAAATTCTGTTTTAATCTTTAGAGTTTAAGGCTAAAGTGTTCCAGCTTAATTCATCCCAGCTACTTTAGTTACACTTGTATACATTGATCAGATCTACAGCGTCTTATCTGATAGTTAAAAAAAAAAAAGCCAAACCTGAAAACCTAAAACTTTTTCATAACAAAATCTGATGTAAACTTACATGAGGCTGTTGGTGTGTTTTACTGATTCCATTTAGTGAGGATGTATCTCACTGCAGAAATGATAGTGTTTTAATTATGAGCTGTTTGTACTGTATTAACTTTCTAAACTTCAAAAAGAAAGAGAATTCTGAAACATTTCTTGCTCCAAGGGTTTCTGTTAAGGGAATCCTATCTCTTTGGATACTGCAACTCTGTTGCTTTTAATTCCATGGTGAATTCTAAGATTGGTTTTGTGGTCTCCACTGTTAAAGTATCTATTTGTTAGTAAGTTAAAATTGGTTTAGGCTGGTTGACAGTTTCAAGAGGGATTTGCTATGATATCTTTTCATTTTCGTAGGGCTGGGGAGCCGAGTATCACCGGCAGGATGTTACCAGCACCCCCTGTTGGATTGAGATTCATCTTCATGGGCCTCTTCAGTGGCTGGATAAAGTCCTTACTCAGATGGGCTCCCCTCTGAACCCCATATCTTCCGTCTCATAGTGCAGAAGTAGTCTTTTCAATTATATTATTAGCGGACTTGTTTTAATTTTAGGGAAACCTTCAGTACAGATACTGTGAGCTTACGTGGAAAACAGATATTACAGCTTATTTTTTTTCTACATAATTGTGACCAATACATTTGTATTTTGTGATGAATCTACATTTGTTTGTTATTTGTGTTCATGTGATTAACTATCAAAAGTGTTGTGAGAAATGCAAAGTAAGTATTGTACCCCAGTTCACAAGTTTGACATTGATCTTAAACTGGGACACAGTTTTGCTGCCTTGTCCCAACCAACTTGTTATTTGTTCAAGTTTTTTGAAAAAGTAATACATCACATGATGAAAAATTATAATAGTTTAAGAAGGTATACAGTAAAAAGTCTTCCCTTCTACTCTTCATCCTGCAGAAGCTGTACTTTTACCAGTTTCTTTGTCCTACCAATGTTAAGAAAGTGTAATTCATCGTTTCGTAAAAGCATATGGTAGGGGCTGAAAAGAAACTATAAAAAACAAAACAAAACTTTTATTTGAAGGAACACTATGCACTGCTCTAACAAGTAGTGTTCAGTAAAAGTAAAGTCATAGTTTTCTAGGCAATGTCATAAAATTTGCATTTAATACACCTAAATGTTTGTCAGTCAGTCTCCTGTGACTTCACTCGGTATATCTTTTGTAAAACATTTCCTTTTTTTAAAAAAAGAATTATTGTAAACAACAGATCTCCATTATATGTCATTTACTCAGAATCTGTCCTAAATACTACTTTTATAGCTAGTGACAGTGCACGCCTGGCCTTGTTCAGCTTTGCTGCTTTTGGCCACTGTTGCAAGAACTCTAATTTTGACATGCATTAATCTTTTATTTTGCACTTTGATGGGTGACAGTTTTTAGTGTAACCTTTTGTGAAACACACTCAAGTGACTTAGACTTGGATGCTCATCCTTACTTCCTTGGTACCCCTTTTGTATTAACAGACACTGCGGTTTATAGATGACAGTTGTAGAAGTTACACTTTCTCTAGCTTTTGTTGTATTTTCAACCTAGATGATAAGACTGTTACTCTATAGCTCCACCTGAAGGTGCCTTTTTAATTCTCTGCTGCCTTATGGGTGTTACTCCTGTTGGAGAGTCCCGTGCTTAATCCCATTGCTTTTACTGCCATCAGTTGCCCTGAGTAAGGAAGGGACCCAGGGACTGTAGCCCGAAGCCTCTTCAGTCTAGCCCCAAGTTGAGGCTGCTGGTCTGGTACGTCCTTGAAGAAGCAGTGTTTGTTGAGAATAGTTGACTTTAATATAGTCATGTATCAAAGAATGCAGACTATTCTCTCAGTTACCATACATGCTGCTGGTTTTCCATTTTTGGGGGACCTCTGTGGACACTAGTCTCTCAGAACACAGTCCTCAGAGAGGAAAGATGTGAAAACTCTAGCCATTCAGTCAATCATGCTTGAAGGCTTTGGGTCAAGGGCTTTTAACCTCTTTTTCCTGAGAGCAGTCAAATTTGTTATGGCATGAGAACAAAGACATGGTTTCGGAAAAAAAAAAAAAAAAGACCTAATTTACCTACCAGGGAAAGCTATTTTCTGGTGCCTTTCGAAAGTATATGGAGCCAGTCTTCTATTTAAAATGTTAGTTTGGTTTGACTTTCTGCTTTTAAAATTTTTTTTAAATGCCTTTTTTTTTTTTTTTTTTTTTTTTTTTTAAGGAAAGGAGAATGCACTTCATTTTGTTTTCCATGACATTATTTATTACTTTTACGAAGTGCAGCCACTGCGGGGGTTTAGTTCTTTCAGGTGAAGTGCCATATGTATTTCAGCTCACGGTCCTTTCTGGGTAAAAAGATACTTTCTGACCATCACCCGAGCTTCAGACAGAAGTTTTACATGACATGCATTCTTAATCTTCCAGAGTTGTGTCAGCCACATGAAAAGAGAATTATTTGCTTGGTGTTAGAACCTCGCTATTTACATTATTCTTTTATTTATCAGGCTTATGGCATAATCTTTGGAACAAATTTGTAGGAAAAAAAGCATCCATGTTGAATGACATACATGTATTCAAAATCAGTGGATTTGAACTGGTGGAACTATTGAATTGTTGTTTTCAATTGAGGTAATTAAAAATTGTTTTTAGTTACATTACAACCTTTAGAACTGGCAGGGTTTTATGTGTTTGGCCTTTTCTGTGTTTTCCTTAAGACATTTTATCTCATGGAGGACAGTACGAAGCTCCTGTCAAGACTTTCATGGAAAAGTATAAGCCTGTTATACTTCCTAAAAGTTATTAACTCCACACCCCTGGATTTTAAATGAAAATTGTATTCAATGTGGCTGCTTCTGTAATTCCTGAGGGTGCCCCAAATCCATGGATGGGAGATAAAAATCACCAGTGAGATTTAAAAAACTAAATAAAATTATGACCAATGAAAAGAAGACACTTCTGAAGGAAACCTTTTCAGAAAATGACAGTTTTAAATTTTTATTTAATCTCTAGAATCTATTTTATAGTCAAAGTTGATGGAAAATACCAATACCACTGGAACAATCACCTTTTATAACTTGTACAACATACTAATATATGTGAGCTGAAAAGACTAGTGTCTGGGAATAATAAAATGACAACCGATTTGGTAAATGCAAAAAGAGAAATTGAGTCTACTTTAATCTGAGTAAACACAACAGAAAGATGATCAGAAAAAAAAAAGCATTGCGTTTGATCAGCATCTCTGTCTCATAAAGTATTATGGTCTTTTTGGTATTGCTTGGCTTGAGTTACAGAATGTAAACTAGCGGGCATGTTATTGATCTACTGAAGCTAACGGTTTTTTTTTAGAGATTAAAGAAAACATCAATCAAAATGTCAAGTTATATACATCAGAATATAAGCCATTTTTCACATTTTATTGTTATATAAGGAAACTGTGGTCATAGAATTGGTTGGGTTTCTGAGTTGAAATCCACAGTAAGATTACTGGGTAGTTCAGTGAGCTACATACCTCATAGCACTGAAAGAGGATGTAGCTACTTTATACTTTCCGTGACACTGGAGAGTAAGATATGCTTTTAAGATGTAAAATAATAAGTGTTCAGATCTGAAATCTCTTGTCAAGATATGAGACCTGTGGCTCACATCGTAAAACCCTTGAGGGTAACGGTGGGAAACAGTGAAGGCTTATATGAAAAATGAAACCCTACCAGTAGCACAGAACCTCCAGAAAGTCTGATAGTACCTCTTTAAGCACTTTCTGTTACAGAAGAGCATCTAATACATCAGCTTCGATCTATTTCTTTATACTCTTCATAGCTGTTTGCTCAGTATTACTTTGGATTATTATCACTTTCCCACTTAAAATATATGAATATCTTCTATGCTTACTGAAAAAAAAAAGATTCTTTTGATAATTTTGAATTCAACTTCCAGTGATGGCTTCAGTTTTGGATCTGTTAACTTTTTAAAGGGATCAGAGTCCGTCTTTGTCTTCTTAGTTAAGTCTTCACTCACTCAGATGGGAATACAAAATGTGTCCTCATTATTCCCAGGAGCTAGATAAGCAAGGATCTTTTAACATAGTTGATATCATGGTGGTTTCAGGCACGTTTGGTGATCTGAATGGCAGGGAGTCTTCCTAAACATTGGTTTATGAAGGGGCTCTTGAGATACTAACTAGGGCAGCTTTAGGGGGCAGATCTCAGGTTTGGAGCCTGTTTCCTCCAGAGCAGCAGCCATTTTCCTCTATGATAATGATATGATAAAAGGTGGGATTTGGGGGAGCTTTTCTTCTCACAGAAGTTGCATGTATGGAAACTGACAATTCAAGGCATTTCTTCTGCATAAACAGTTGTGCCTGGTGGATAGTTCTTTGGAATTCACTGGACTACAGTTTAGCATTTCCTAATGAAAAGAGGTAACAGTATTTACCAAGCTTTTGTTATATTGGATTATTCATAGTAGAAACTTACCTTCTAAAAGCCAACTGTATTATGACTGAAGTGTTAACCTGAAATTGGATGGTTTACAAAAAACAGAGGGATTTTACATAGCAAAAAAAAAAAAATTTTTTTTTAAGAGCTTATGATAAAATATTCACTGGTAGCAGTTGCTGTAAAACAAGCGATGGGATGTTTTGGTGAAAAGATAGGGTCTTAGAGCAGAATTCTTCTGTTATTCATGGCAGAGTGAAAAAGTTCTGTGTGGTTCTTGTCCAAATAATTCAATTCTTAAAATTCTTACAGTTACCATAAACCATTGTCCCTTAAGTATCCATTTGACGATACTATTCCTAAAAAGTTCAGAATTTTGTGTACAGATACTTTCTTTTCCCTCACTAATAAGTAGCGCCTTCTTGATACTAGCTGGTATTAATCATAATAAAAGTACAGTGAAGCCAAACAATCCTAAGTTCCTTATAAAAGAAATTTTTTAGAATCAGATTTTCACTTCTAATGTCATTGGAGATGACATTGCTTTGATTTGATTCATGAAGTATTTTATGTATAGGGACTCTTGAAGATAATAGTTGGGCAAGTGATTTTCTTCTTAATTGGGTGGGTTAAAATTGCATTTTGAATATCAGTTATTTTAAAATTGGATAGGATTGTAATCATGAAAACTGGATGTTTGTATGTATCTACCCATCTTCTCTTAAAAAGATATTTCACATGCAGATGATAAAGACCAAACCAATGGCTGCGCTATAGATCTGCTTATTTTGTACTTGTTCTGCTTCTGTGTATGTTGTAGAAAGTGAAATTCTAGCAACATGCTTCAATTCTGTTGCCTTTTTGATACTTATAAAAATGTATTAGATTTTACTATATTGTGCTTTTCAAAGCCATAACTCTTAAGAACTTTGTTTTTGCATATTGTTTGCTAATACTTTATTTTAATAAATCTCAAAACCTTAATGTGTGTGGGTTTTTGTTTTTGTTTGTTTTGTTTTGTTTTTTGGTATTCTCTTTTGACTTAACATGTTTCACTGAGTGGAGTTCTAAAATGATGAGACGACCAGTTGCTGTAACCGGCTGTTATCTGCGTGTGCACGAGCAGTAGAAAATAGGTATTCCATGCCTTTCCACTCAGCAGGAGATTTGCTCAGAATGATCAGTGTTTTTCCATTTTGTTTGTAAGAGAGTTGATGTGTTTTTCTTTGTTGAATTTAGTTGTGTTTTGAAAAAGTATTTAGATCTAGTCTGGGCTGTTTTAAACACTGATGTCCCTTCTCTCTTACCCATCTGTAGATGAGAGGTGTTAACCGGATGATTAGGAGATAGAGTAGCTCCTAGCAGAAATGCGTCTGGATTCGGCCTGCTGCACGGGAGTCCTGCGCCTCATCGCTCTTCTAGCTCTGTGCCCTTGAGCAAGTTGCTTAACCCCGCTGTACCCCAGTTGGAGTGGAAGTCTGCTTCATAGTATTTTGGGAAAGATTAAATAAAGTCCTACAAAAAAACTACCTAGAACAGTGCCTGGCATATAACTTGTTTTTATTGTCTATTGGCATTTCTTCTGCTGCTTTGAGAGGAATTATTACTGATACTGCTTGACTTCAGGAGATCCATTCTTAACTTTCTTCATTTTCTCCTTCAAAAAAAATTTTTTTTTTAATCACAGATGGGTTTTATCAGCCCCACAAGTACATACTTTTACCACCGCTGTGTTGTATATAGGAGAAATGCAAATTTCTTCTCATTAGGAAGGGATGGTGTAAGTCTTTGTGCTCCCCACCTGAAAAGGAAAAAAACCCAAACTAAATATTTTAACCCAAAAGAACAAATATAAAAGCTCTTATTATTCTTTTTGGAGACAAGGCTTCATCAAAAGAATCCATCCCTGCAAATCAGTTCCTTCTTACGCCTTTTTAAGTGTAAGGTATTTAGTAGTTACTTAAATGGCTGTTTTAAAAGTATATTTTAAAAAATACTTGTTCTGGCACTAGATTTCAGTAAACAGGTGTTGGCTTCTCTCCGATTTAAGGTGATTAGTTTTCAGATTGCTGTAGTCCAAACAGTTTAGGTGATGAAGGGATCAGCCGTGACATCTGCTTCAGTTTTCCTTCAGACAACAGATTCAGTAGCTAATGCTCTTCCACATTACAGCAGTTTTGATGCAGCTCAGATTTTATACATATTTATAAGAAGGCTGTCAGCAGGCTAGGGCAAGCTTTTAAGAAAGTACTTCTTTGGAGCTCTGTAGTAAATAACGGTTTAAAGAAGGAAGCATTTTTTTTAAAGTTCTAAAGTTCATTTTACATGTTAAATATCACTTTTTTGTTGACTTTGTAAGCCTATTGTTAATAAAGACTTGATAAAAAAAAAGATTGTGTGTTCTCTTGATCAAAATCACTTTGTGGTTGTAGTTTAAAGAAAGGCTGAGACTCTAGGGAAAAGTTGTTGGTCTCCTTAACTCCCCCCCCCCTTTTTTTAAGATTTTATTTATTCATGGGATTCACCCAGAAAGAGGCAGAGACATAGGTGAAAGGAGAAGCAGGCTCCCCATGAGCTGGATGTGGGACATGATCTGGAACCCCAGGATCATGACCTGAGCCGGAGGCAGATGCTCATCTGCTGAGCCACCCAGGTGCTCCAGCATTCCCTGTCTTAAAGTATGTGGAATGGATGGGGAAAGAGGCATTTAGACTCTTACTATCCATATCGTATCAAGTGGATATTTGTAAATTTTCTGTGAGAGGCAGTTCCTGGGGGCAGTGTTTTGATGTTCAAAGATGGATTTTGAAAGCATCCTTTTATACTTTGGTTTTAATCTGTTACCCCTTTCCTATCCGATAAAAGCCTCACCTGTTCTTTCATTTTATATACTTTTATCTGAGCTAAATGCTGAAAATTTTAACAGTTCAGAAAAGGATAAACTAAAAACCCCCAACCACTAGCTAACCACTAAACAGTCATGTGTGTAGTGTGTGTACCCTTCTAACCTGTTGAGGCAGTTGCTCTACATTGGTCCTTTCCTTTCTCTGACAAAAATGTAGCTGATTAGATTAGTAGGAGTGGAACTATAGCTCCTTTTTTGAAAGTACTCAGAGAAATAGATTCCAAAGTATTTCTTGGATTTCTATACCCAAGAGAACATTGTCCTCTTTTCAATATCCTTTCTTGTTGAATGTCAGACTTTCTGAAGTGTACAGCATCAAGCCTAGCTTTCCAGATATTTTAATAAGATTGCTGAAGTGGGGGATCCCTGGGTGGCTCAGCCATTTGGCATCTGCCTTCGGCCCGGGGCGTGATCCTGGAGTCCCAGGATCGAGTCCCGCGTTGGGCTCCCTGCATGGAGCCTTCTTCTCCCTCTGCCTGTGTCTCTGCCTCTCTCTCTCCCATGAATAGATGAATAAAATCTATTAAAAAAAAAAAAAAAGATTGCTGAAGTGACAAAGCCAATTGGGATTAATCTGAGAAGGCTTTCAGGAAGAACAAAATAAGACCTTGGGTATTGAGAAAGTATCCCCATTTCACAAACTATAGGTCTTTCTTTTTCTTTTTTCTTTCTTTTTTTTTTTTTTTTTGTTTTTACGATTATTTATTCATGAGAGACAGAGAGGCAGAGGGAGAAGCAGGCTCCATGCTGGAATCCCAATGCGGGACTCGATCCCGGGACTCCAGGATCATGCCCTGGGCCGAAGGCAGGTGCCAAACCGCTGAACCACCCAGGGATCCCTATAGGTGTTATTTCTTTACTGACTGTCTCACGTCATGGGGAGGTAAAGTCTCTGAGGCCAGCGTATTCCCACTGCTGGAGCAGTTCTTGGTAAATTATAAGCACTCCAATACTTGTGGAATGAACAGAAAGACAGAAGTCAGAGGTAATTTTTTTTTCAAAGACTTTATTCATAGACACAGAGAGGCAGAGACACAGACAGAGGGAGAAGCAGGCTCCACGCAGGGAGCCCGACGTGGGACTCGATCCCGGGTCTCCGGGATCACACCCCAGGCCACAGGCGGTGCCAAACCGCTGTACCACCGGGGTTGCCCTAATTTATTTTATACTAGAATTCATTTTTTGAATTATGTAACATAATGGTTCTTAGCCGAATGCTTCATAGTTCAGCACTCTAAATATTAGATCTCTTTATTGCATGCCTCATCAGAGAAGAAGAGATTCAACTAAGAATTAGAAGAGCAGCATCTATCTTTCTCCTTGAACTTTTAGATCTTTGTCCCCAAAGTTATCAGGCTCCTGGAATTGTTGGTTAGAGAACCTACAAAATTAACAGTCAAGTTGGAGCTTTACCCTTTTGATGTTTAATATTTTCCTGGAGAAAGTCAAAGGGCACAGTTTGATTTATTTAACCTGAAAAAATAAACCAAAAAGTACTTTTTATTTTATAGCTTGCAGTATGAAGAACCCTGTAGTTTCATTTTAGCACCCTGGTTTTAGATATCCTAATATCCCCAGTTGTGCATGAGGGACAAGCCTTTGATTACATTCAGGTAGGGCACCCCAAGTAACACCTTGGAGAGAGAGAGCATAGCGACCATGTTTGTCCTTCCCAGTACAAGATTAATTTTGCTGAAGAGTGTGTGGGATTATAGGGGTAAAGAAAGCACAGAGGAGTTTGAATTGCTGTCCCAACATTTAAGATTCATAGTAGACATCCTCTGATTGCTTTCTCTTCAACTACAATTCTTTAAGTTTTACGGAATTGGCTTCAGCCTCCTTAGAGATAGCAGTGAAGGTGAAGATGATGAATTGACAAACTGCTGGAAGTCGACCAAGACCCATTCTTCCCTTCCATAATTATAGGACACTTATGTCCAGCCGCATGCCACACTTCCCAGACTCCGTTTCAGCTAGATAATGGTCATGTGGCGAAGGAGAGGAGCAGAAATATGTGCCATTTGGTGTAATGCTCCAAAGAGGAATGTCCTCCCGGTTGCTTTCGCCTTCCCAATGCTACAATGCAGATACGGTGGCGACAGGAACCTGGGCAGTCACTTTGAAATGGACATG